TGGTGTGGGGATGTCGTTCTCCCAGGCCCGTGTACTCCCGCCTACACGGGCCCGTGGGCGTTTCCCTGAACCGCTGCAAGCTTGGGGCACTGCCTGATGAGGTGTCCGACTTGTCCACATCCCCAGCAGCTCTGAGGTCGGCGGTGTGGGCCAGCCCGAGGGGAAGGCGACTGCAGCGAAGCTGTCTGCACCAAACTGCACAGGCCCGCTGGCGTCTCCATCTGTTCCACAGGTGCTGACACAGCCCTCACCACGTGTGCGTCGTCAGCGCCCCCAGAGGATCCTGCAAGCATCTCCCTCTCCAACGCTAGCTCCAGGGCTGCACTGAGTGTGGCCGGCCGAGCAAGCTGAGTTTGCATGCGGAGCTCTTTAGGGCTCAGGGCCTGCAGGAACTGGTCCCGAGCTAACTCCGCCTGCACTGATGGTGGCATGCTGTCATACGCCCTCCGGCAAAGGCACTCGACTTCATGGGCCAAAATGCGGAGGGGCTCACCTGGCAATCTGCGTCTGTTGTGGAACTCCGACCTCAGCAGCACTGGTTGGTTATACTGCCCGAAGCGCCTCTGAAGTGCTCCGACCAGAGCATTATAATCGCCCCTCTGCTCCTCGGTCAGCAGCAGCAGGCATGCAGCTGCATCCTCACACAGGCACAAAGCCAATTGGAGAGCTTTATGTTCCTCAGACCAGCCAGCTGCAACAGCTAACAGCTCGAACTGTGCGATAAACACTTCCCATGGCGTCTTGCCGCTGAACTTAGGCGTTTTCATATTCGCTGCAGCTTGCTGGGCGCCGCCATGTTTGTTTACATCACGTGACGGCGCGCCAAGCGAGGTCGACTCCTTCCCGCCGGAATCGCGGCCGCTGTGCGAACAGTTCCCGAGCCTAGTCAAACCTGGAGAAAATCCAGCCTCGGCAGACAGCCGCAGCGCCGTTTCCCTCACTCCATGGGCGGGCGAGCGCGGACGAACCTCCCTCTCCTCCCTCTCCTCCGTCTCCTTCTTAATCCTGCCCGGCAACATCCTCGTCTCGTAACGGCAAGCGTCGCCGGCAACAGGGTCTCGGGCGTTCTGGGGTTCTTTTTTCTTTCTTCACTTCTGACACCAATGTAACGTTCACGAGAACCAGACGGTTGGGGTCTCAGTTTGTCCGTTTATTCGGCACATAAGCCAGCGGGTTGTTAACTCAGGGGGAAGCGCTCTCGAACTACACCTCTCTTCAGCCTGGCACACACACAGAACAACCAGGTCCCCCCACCCCTTCCTGTACACCACCCTCACTACTTCCTGCAGCCCAACCAAACATGAATCTTAAAGGAACAACAACAGTGTGCAGAGAAAACCAACATGTCACTGTCCAGTAACACTTAACCATCGTTACAATATATTAGGGGTGCAACGATATTCATATCGATATTGAACCGTTCGATACAGTGCTTTCGGTTCGGTACGCATATGTATCGAACAATACAACATTTGTAATTTATTTGATCAATTTTCCTTCTGACGATGCTGTCTGTGTTGAGCGCTCAGTGAATCTGTGTTCGACTACTCCGCCTAGGCTGCACTGTCGAGCGCAGATCCACTGAGCGCTCAACACAGACAGCATAGTCAGAAGGAAGAGCGCAGGGCAAGCTAGCGAGACAGAAGTTAAGCTCTCCTTGCAAGATGGACCTCCCCCACTCTCATTCAGATCTGGCGTTTGGAATTATTTTGGTTTTCATGTGATGTATGACCCTGAAGGTAAGCGAGTCATGGACTAAAGTAAAACAGTATGTTGGATGTGCCATGCAATGCTCAATTACATTGGTGTGAACTAGTGTGTTAGCACAGTTAGCTCGTTAACGTGTTGGCCGTCTAGCCCCATGCACGGAGCGATCGGCGGTAGCTCGTTAACGGAGATTTGCCTTGTTGTGGCGTTAAGGTCATTTCAACGAGATTAACCTGAAAGCACTAGTGGGAACACAACGAATATGACTGCACATTTATGCCGACATCATCCTAGTGCAAAGACAAGTGGAAGCAGAAAAAAAAAAGCAAGCATGCTACTAACTTTAGCCGAGTCATTTAGACAGCTGTTAGCACATGATTCTCCTTATGCTGCTGAGAATATAGCCCAGAAGAAGCGGATAGTATCGCTTTTATTTTGGAAAGAGCCATTTCTCTGTAATAAACTCTCTTTTCCAAAGATGAGTGATTCCTCAATCAGATACAGGGCTCGCAATATCGCTAGCCCGACGTCCCGGAGCTAGCGATTTTTTTCAGTCGGGCTACCAAAATCTTTCTCTTCCCTGCCCGTCGGGCTATTGTAGGAAGGAAAAATATATGTCAATGCTTTTGCATTCTTTCGGAAATGTAGCTGGGTAATTATGTCATTGGCATCGGTGAGCCACTGTCAATATGTGACATATGCTTTCACTTTGCAATCGTGCGAACTGTGTATAGAGAGCGACAGCACTGATCTGTGAGTGATGATAATTTGTGCACCAATTCCTCTGACATCGTCTTATTAATCGTTAGCTTACTATGCAAACATGACAAGTGAAATCTCCCGCAGCTTACACATGTGAGAGGTTGATCGCGCAGAGAATCGCTGAGCTTATGTGAGTGCGTGTGTAAAAGCATTTCAGTTCTGCTGAGCCAAATAAGACAGGTCATGGTGAAGAAGTGACAGCCAAAGAAAAGCTTACCACAAAACGGAGAAGTTATGACAAATCAGACTATAAGGCAAAAAGAAAGTGCAGCTTTATGGTTTCATGGACAAAAGAATTTCTGTGGCTGCAATATGATGAGGTAAATAACCAGGGCTGCACATAAGTGGTCCGCAGGTGCGCATTCGCTGTCAAAATAAAAAACACGCACAAGGGTGAGGGTTAAATTTAAAAACTGTACTTTTGAGTTAAAATATATATTTATAATTTTAATAAATGACAAATTAAAAATGCATGAACATTTTTTTGTATCGAAAAAATATCGAACCGTGACACCAAAGTATCGAACCGAACCGAACCGTGAATTTTGTGTATCGTTGCACCCCTAATATATATATATAAAAAAAAAGAAATTGTTTTGAACTGAATTATGAAATCTACTTAAATATGAACACCCTTTTCTAAGGCGCTTTCCCAAAGTTGCAAATTGTTTTACAGCTTCATAAAAAGTATATTTGAATAAAGCAGTGTTGTGTTTAGGCATCAGCCATTAGTTTAACGCATTTTAAAAGGTTAAAACATACAAAATTATGGCAAAGATGGAAAAGCAGTAGTTTCTGATGACTGACGTCGCTTGTCGTCAGTTGTGTTCGTCATTTGTTTTTGTTAATGGTCGGCTGCTTTTTTTCTTTATATCGTGAGACAAGAAATGATGGTCCAGTGTATCCTATGTGAGAGAAAGTGATAAAGGGAACACTGAAGTGGCTTTCCTCAACATTTAGAGGGAATTTAACCAGGAATTGGTGTTATCAGCAAACTTAGCAGGCTGAATAAATACAGAGACCCACATATCCGGTATTTATTGTGTGCTATGGACTACTTTAAATCAAAATCGTTGAAAAGAAACTGGCAGCTCAAACATGTGGTCCATTTCAGTGATTCAAATTAGCAGAGATTAGGACTGGCATGTAGCGACTAGCTGCAGCTTCCTGTGTTGGGAAATCTGTCACTTATGTCTATAACGTTAAGCCATAGCGTATCCACTATGGCTTGAGTACACAGTGGATAATTATTATGAAGGGGGAAACTATCCATAGAGGGCCAAACCATTTTTTTGCACTAGACTGTAAACAAGCTTTTTAATGATATAAAGTTAACATTTTTACACTGGACTGTATGGGGACTGACTGGATTGAAGGCTGAAGCGCCTGTATGATGGTGTGGCAGTGAGTGGGGAGGGCTAGACTTCTGGAAGCCATTTGGAGTTGCTAAATACTTTCCTAGCTCAAAATAGTTTTTTTTTTTGGGTGGTCCAGCATGTTCTGACCAGGCAGCACATAAACAGGCAGGGTGGGACACAGTCATTTCCCATTGTTAAGCTGTTTCGCTCAATGCTGCTGTGTTGCAGTCTTCATTTCCTGCCTATCAGACAGGAACATGCAGGGTAGCCTAAATCTCACATTTTCTCCACTTATAAGTGAATGAAGAACTGTTGGCGTGGGTCAGGTATCAGATCCTTTTGGCAGGGTTGAAATCCATCTCTTTGCTTTCAGGGCAATCACCCATTACACCGCGTCTTGTTTCTTCGACAGAGGATTGGAATACATGCAGTTGCACATGGATTTCCTAATACACTCCATACATTTCATTTCACTCTGATACTACTGGTTCTGAAGAGCAGTGATCCTCAACCTGGTGGCTCCTTGGTGATGATGAAATCCTGTTATGTCTAGATAATCGGTCCACAGGCAGTGGGGCAGTCTGGCAGTTTATTTTCCAGTCTACAGCCTAAAACATCAAGAGAGAACTGAATCATGCACAGGGAAGACATAAGTAGTCAGATTTTAGCTGAAGAGGCAGTGCAGTATTAAATTATAAACAAATCATCCAACTAACAACTAACATTGTTTGTATAAGTGTTAAGTTTTTATTTAAAAACATCTCTGGTGGTCAGGGCCAGGAAGCTGGTAATGATACCACATAATGAGTTTGAAAAACATTTTTAGCCTTTGCACTGCATCACACAGTCTCCATGTATGAAGTGCTTTGGTTGCTCCAGTGGAGTAGGAAATGCGCTATATAAAAACCATTTACAATTTACCTTTGCTAGTCAAGGTAAGAACTGGCGAGGAGGAGCCCGTGCTGTGTAAGATTCCAGTCTGTAGTTAAATTGGCTGATGCAGTCCTCTGGCTGGCTCAGTCGGACTCATCCAAGTTTCTCACTATGTGTGCCTCTCTTTTGTGAATGGGCGGCAGCTCCCTCTGCAGGGGGCCTGGCTGCTGTTGCTGCATGGGACATCCCGTAATGCAAGCCACTCTCATCACAAGTTCCCAAGGGTCAGACCTCAAACCTCTGACTACCTAATATTTTGGTGTCTGCTCTTTGCTGTCTAAATTGAGTTGGAAATTTTTTTCTCCGCCAAGTTTCCGAGGGCCCTGTATGGTGAGTTTATCTTACTGTATGGCTTTCTTATCATTTCTTTATTTTTTAATATTCTTTCCTTGTTTGGTTTTTACAGGACACAGTAATGAGGCACATTTTCTTTTCTTTTAACGAGGATCTGATCTGTTTTCTCCCTTTCAAGGATAAATCTGTTTTTTTTGTTTCTTCACTTTCAACTTTCTCTCTCTTATCTCTCAGTATTTCTACTTGCAACATGAGGCCGCTGCTGTTTGGGATTCTGCCAATCAAGGAGAACTCTTTTGGCTCTCTATCTAGTGTAACTGTTGCACTCTGTCTTTTAACCCTCCTCCTGATGGTTATCTGGGGTCAAAAGAGTAAGAGATCCTTCTTCCACTTCCATCTTGACTCCCAGCTGGACCACACAAAATATCCCCCACCTCCTGGCCCCAAACCGTGGCCCCTTGTCGGGAATCTGCTCCAGGTCGGGGATCAGATTCATCTCTCTCTAACTGGGTTGAGGCTTCAGTATGGAGACATCTTCAAGGTACATATAGTTATATATAGTTTTTGTATTATTAGTTTCAGATCAACAGAGTGAGCATGAGTTAATTTATTTGTTTGTGTCATGGATCCAGCTCCGCCTTGGCTCTTTGACTGTTGTCGTTCTGAGTGGGTACAACACCATCAGGCAGGCTCTGGTTCGACACGGGGAAGCTTTTGCGGGGCGACCTAACCTTTTCATCTTCTCTGCTATAGCCAATGGGACCAGCATGACTTTCAATGAGAACTACGGACCTGTGTGGCTGCTCCATAAGAAGCTGTGTAAGAATGCCCTCAGGTCTTTCTCCCAGGCTGAGCCAAGGGGTTTTGGTGCCACCTGCCTCTTAGAGGAGCACATATGTGCAGAGGCTGCAGGGATGGTGCAGGTGATTCGAGAAAAAGCTGCAAAAGAAGAAACAGAGGGTATAGACCCAGCAACGACCTTGGTAACCTCAGTGGCAAATGTCATTTGTGCGCTTTGTTTTGGGAAACGGTATGACTACAGTGATAAGGAGTTTCTCACTATTGTTGATGTCAACAACGAGGTCCTGAAGCTCTTTGCAGCGGGGAACCTGGCTGATTTTTTCCCTGTGTTTCGCTACTTTCCGAGTCCATCTCTGAGAAAGATAGTCCAGTACGTTCGCAGGATGAACAGATTCATGGAGCGGAACATTGAGGAACACATTGACACCTTTGATAAGGTAATTAAGTATGCAGACTTACATGTAGGCAAGAATTTAGTTTAAATGGGGGAAAATGACAGTACAATCTATGCCATATAATCACTGTTTGCTTAAGTTCTATTTATTTCATTTTTGCACATGACTTACTGACATAAACTTCAGTTTCATAATAATCAGCAACTAGGCTTCTTAATGATTTGTGAATATTGCATTTTATTTATATTTTTTTTATATTATCTTAACTTTAACTGATCTTTTGCACAGTGACCTTTAATAGATGTCGCCACAGCCTTATGTTGTAAATAATGTGTCTATTGGTGTTGTTTTCTTTAGATCTGTGCCACTAATTTGCATCCCGGCTCTTTAATATGACATTGAACTCATACATTGGTAGCTATGATCGTAACTGTAGCCAAAAAAATAACTAACAAGTTCCATGTGATGGAACTTGTGCAGAGATGGCTAAAATGTTCGCACGCACTCTAATTAGGAATTAGCAACTCTACTGGAAGACACGCGTCTTACCACAATTGATTACTGTCCCTTCCCTAATTACTTTTAAGGTTTAAAGCAAGCTGGCAGTTAAAGTAGATAACTTTATATTTGAGCAGTGACAGCTGCTTGATGTTGGAAGGAGTAAAGTTATCTGTGTTCGCAGAACCGTATCCGGGACATTACAGACGCTCTAATTGCACTTTGTGAAGAAAGAGAAGAAAGCAAGGATACTTCGATGCTCTCTAACGACCAGATCATTCACACTGTCATAGACATCTTTGGAGCAGGTTAGGCAAACTACAAATTTCACATTATGATGCTTTTACGCTTGTATTATGCCAGTAATAAATCCTAATGGTGATAATGAATTTTCCCCCTTTTTTGTGGTTTTCCAAAGGATTCGACACCATCATCGCTGGTTTGCAGTGGAGCCTGTTGTACCTCATCAAGTTTCCTGACATCCAGGATAAAATAAACCAGGAAATAGGTGATGCCTTATGCTCCAATAAAACAAACTCATATGCTGTACAGTGTGCTCGGCTCTTCACCAAAGTCACCCATTGTTAGAAACTGGTAAATACACGGCTTACAGAGAATTCAGGGTATGCTAAATAGGAAAGTCCTCTCTTGTTCCTGCTCTGATGACGGACTCATAATCATTCTGTTTCTCATAGACCAAAAATAGGAGGTTGCTCCTTAATCGTTTTAAGTCCCACATCACTGATGAGCATAAGTCAGTAGTAAATGTAGTTCTTATCTATTAAAATATTCACCACAAATGGGATTCACACAGTTTACAAGAAACGGGTGGAAATGCACCTCTCATTAGCAGCTATGCACAGGCCATACATGAGCATGCAGCCGTCTGTGATGTCTGCAGTATCAGGGAGAATCCTTATTAAAAAGACTGAACAACGGCCAACCGAGCACGCTTTTTGGAGAGACAGAATCAGACCAGAGAAACTCACAAAAGATCAGTCCAATTTGCTGACGCTTTTTGAAGTGGGCTCAGAGAACTGGTGCTGTCTGTTCTGAGGCACGTTGTATTTTCACAGAGGGCGAGATGAAGCGAGAGAGAGAGAGACAGAGAGAACTAAGAGGAGGCAGGATGAATCAGAACAGGAGAGGGGTTAGAGGGTTCCCCGGAGACACAAAGGCGCTGACACGCAAGGCAGTGAACAGACATAGTCTGACATTATTCCCTTTTTCATCTCTTACATTTCATTTAATTAAGAGGCTTTAATTCTGTTGTTTACAGTACCGAAAGCCTTATTAGTGGAGCAATATTTGTAAAGTAATCTAAAGGATCAGCATATTTTAAATTGTAATTTTTTATGATGCACATGTGCATAAAGTTTTTACAAACTGAAAGAAAGCAAACCACAGCCTGGAAATCAGTTTATGTTAAGTTTAAATTTAAAAAAAAAAAAAAAAGACATATTATTAGAATACAAGAATAAAAATGAAAATAAAAATGTAAATAACATTAACAAAATTGCAAGTTTATCACAACTTATGTCACATTTTTTTAGACCCAAAAGATGAGATACAGATTATGTTTTATTATTTATCATTATTTTTTTAAGATGAGCATATCGGCAAACTCCAGCTGCCCAGGTTTTCCAACAAAGCCAAGATGCCTTTCACAGAGGCCTTCATATATGAAGTGTTTCGTCATGCTTCATATGTCCCTTTTACCATACCACACTGGTAAGACCTAAAGTTTTGACAGCAGTAAATTTGTTTTTTCAGCATGTAGATTGTTTTTTTTTATCACTTTCCTCTGATTATATTTTTCCTCTCCAGCACCACGAGAGACATCACATTTAATGGGTATTTCATTCCCAAAGACACATGCGTCTTCATTAATCAATATCAAGTCAACCATGATACGTGAGTAGCCGAAAGCAGTAAAAATCTACTTTGTCTCGTTCTTTTTATCTTTTAAGACTCTGGATTTTTTTTAACATTTTTGTTTATTTGTTAAAATGTTCATTCTTTCCCAGTGATCTTTGGGGCGATCCTGAGACATTTCGTCCACAGCGTTTCTTGAATCCATGTGGACTCCTGAACAAAGAGCTGACAGAGAAAGTCCAGATCTTCGGCATGGGAAAAAGACGCTGTCTTGGCGATGAATTTGCACGTTTGGAGATGTTTGTGTTTCTTACCACGCTTCTTCATGGGCTACGTATTGAAAATGTTCCAGGGCAGGAGCTGGATCTCAGCACTGATTTTGGTCTAACTATGAAACCACGTCCATATAGGATTACCATTTCCCAGAGATTTTAGACTGTCTGAAAACTCAAATGATGATCTTTCGGATGTTTTGGAATGTCACAGTGGAAATTAATTGTAGTTATTACTATTTTGTGCTCAGTTTGGCAAATGTGGTCAAAGCACAGACACAAAGATAAATATACACAAAGCGAACATGAGGTCATTTTACAGCATTCAGTCCATCTGCCTGCTACATTAGTATCTTAAGTGACTGGTCACAGTTTAAAACGGAGGAATGAGGATGAGTGTCACTGGCAGCAGGGTAAGCCACAATGACTTCATTAATAGTTTTGTAAATAGAAATAGAATAGACACTTTTAGCTGTTGTTAAACTTTTGTTTGTGAACATTTGATGAGTGCCTTCTTTTGGAAACTATGAAGGACAGACTTCAGCTGATAGCTCTTAATGAACTGTTTCACCTGAATATTACAAGTTGAATAACTTATTCTTATTGTAAATACCTGACCTCTATACGTCATGTTGAGGTAAAATAATATCACATAAAAAAAAGTGTGCTATATAAACTACAAACATACTAACAAATATTCAAATTATCTCAAAGCACTAATACCACCAGGTTTAAGGCAGTTATTGTTTATAATGTATGCATAAAATGTTAACTTTTGGACTATTTTTGAAAGAAAAAGTAGAGCTGATGTTGGAAATTGTTTTTTTTTAAAGCATATACAGCCTACAGTTAGCCTCTTTCTATAGTAATTATAGAAAGAGTAAAACTGAGTCACATAAAACAGCTGCAGACAGTGGCTTTGTATAAAACATGCAATCTGAAAACAATAATGTGCCTGTGCTTGTGTGGTAATGTTTACTGGCTTTCTGTCTGTACCTTCACACTGTTCTGAGTGACTCATGGATGATGATGGCAGTGAGGCTGACTCTGAAGTGAGTAGGGGAGGACTAGCTCAGAAGGGTGCCTCCAAAACACAAAAACGAAAAAAACAATCTTATCTACCTAGATAGATATGTTAAGTACAGAAAACCAAGCTATGGAAATGTATTAAGTAAAGTAGAATGCAAGCATTTTAACCCTATTTTAATTTTTTAATAGATTATTTTAATAATAAATATTAACTAAGGATACATATTAAATAATAAATATTGTTTTCGTCACGAGATCTGTGTCACAGTGCCGTATTTTTATATTCCGTAGATTTTTGTGTACAAGTGGACAAATTTTCTTTGATACATTAACAGATTTTAACATTTCCTACAATTCCCCTGACCTTTGAACTAAAGCTTTAATTTTACAAACTCATCGGTATAACTCTTGTCAACAACAGTGTAACATTGCGTGCTATTGCATGTCTATTCACAGCCACTGAACTCACTGGCCACACACAAACACGTGCAAACTGAATGACCTACTGATTTCTATTCACATCTTCATTTACACATGGAGCCTTTTATTGTGGGGGCCCGTTTCTATACATTCATTAAGAAACCACACGCAATCCTCACAGCAACTGTCAGTAACTGCACTGTGATGTCTGTCCAACTAATTATGGCTAAATTAATATGTGAACATCTCTAACAATCTTTACTCATAACTTTATTCACTATTACGACGCAGAACGGTTCAAACATCTTCCTCTTCCACGCTCTGCCCAGATCTCAGTTTCATGATCACCTGGAAAAAAATACATTCACATTATTTTATGGTTTAATTCTAAATAGAAATGTACATATTTGAATAGCTGACTGTGAAAGTGGCATGCACCTCTTTCAGCTGGGCAATCTCTTTGCTTTCCACATTTCTCTGAGCGTTGTTGGTTATGGCCTTCACTCTTGTTGCATAACTGCAAAGTTCAGAGAGTTCAAGTGTTATTCTGTTGAGTTTTTTAGTGCTAAAATACAATAAAACACTGTTTTTTCTCTCTCTGTTACATAAGAGATGTGAGCGTCTCGTCAAGATTGTATTCTGTAGGAGAGGTGTTGACGATCATCAGAGTTTTAGCATTTCCACCCAAAGAGTCTTGCATCACCTGAGAGAGATGAAACACATTTTGGTTGAACTGCTTGTCTACGTTGGAGTTCAGAATTGAAAAACTAGAATACTGCCTTTTTAATTTATTACCTGTGTTAGCTTGCTATTCCTGTATGGCACATGGGGCAGTTCAGCAGATAAAGCTGAGATCACATCACCCAGTGCACTCAAAGACTTGTTAATGGAGTTTGCCTCCTGCACAGAGGAGAACATGGAAGAATTTAAAGAAGTCATGACAAATCTTTCAACCACTCACTGACCCATGAAACAAGATAGGAGCAGACCTTCAGCTGGTGGTCCTTGGCACCTGTTTTGGCTGCTCGCTCACTGCCTGCCAGGTCTACAAGGCTCAGCTTCCCACTGCTTACACTCCCATTTGTCAGATTCCTGCTCTCCAACATGATGCCAACAATAAGATGAGAGCGGGAACTCTCCACGTTCATCTCTTAAAAAATGACAAAAATACAACAGGACAAAGAAAGATGGATTTTTATATATTTCTGGTATTTTAAGAAGTGCGACTTCAGAAGATGCTGATTAATAATCAGTCCTCAGATTCTCTCTCTCTCCCTCTCTCTCTCTCTCTCTCTCTCTCTATATATATATATATATATATATATATATATATATATATACATATATATATATATATATATATATATATATATATATATATATATATATATATACATATATATAAAAGGTTTAGCATCAGCATATTGTTGCTCTGCTGCTTTCCAGATCTGTAATGATGTACCTAAATGCCACCCCACTGCTATAACTGTAACTAACACGATTAATCCAAACCAATTAGCAGGACCCTATTTGAGGCTTTTGCACGGCATCAAGAGCTCACTGGTGGCAGAGATGTGTCGGTTTGCGCAGGCCTGCTGGAACAGAGCGTAGAGCTCCTGGGCACTGGAAGCCTCTTTTGTCTCTGCTCCTTGGGCGAACACAACTCCCTTTCTGTTCCTCTTGATCTCCACCCGCCTGGCCTGGCCATGGGATTGAGTGTGTACGTGGGCCTCACCAGCCTGGCTCGCAAAGAGGTCCTGCAGCCTGTCATTGTAGAGCTCCAGCATATAGGCTGAAACCTAAAAGGAAGCACAGTAACCAGGAAGAGAGGAACAAAGGGAAGCAACGTCTTTTCTCTCCCAAACATGGTTTGTTTATATGCTGGTGAAATAATGTCTGCTACCTTAAAACTGAATTTAGAGCTGTTCTCGCGCATGATATCAAACATGGCATTGAAAGCTCTCGGGATGATCCCGGGATTCTTCTGTTCCTTGTCCCCAACCATAGTGAAGGTCTTCCCTGAGCCCGTCTGGCCATATGCAAAGACACAAACGTTGTAACCGTCGATAGCTAACTGGATCAGCCTGTGGGAAAAACATTTTCTTCAGGTGAAAGCATCAAAATTTATGGAAGGCTTGATGTCAAGTTACCTCAGGAGCTACCTCACTGTTTCTACTTTTCCATCAACTCTTGAAATCTGTTTTTGAACATAATTTGCTCCCTTTCAATGCTACTAAATAGCCATAACATTACACAGCAGCAGAATCCCAAACTGAGCGAAACAGTCTACAGAGGTGGCACAGCAGCATGAGCAAATGCAGCATCAGCTGTCGTCTGTGTACTGGCAATGAAGGAATTTTATTTTGTCTAACGCATAAGAGCTCCCACTCATCACAAATCCCAATTTAACCCAAGCTTGAGTGCCTCCATGCAGCACATGTTAGGTAACTGTAGCTTTGGTTAGCCTGAGCTGGTACCTTAAAATAGTAGAAGCTACTTTTTAGATTCACAGAGGTTGCTATGATACAAATCTGGGACTCCCTGTGTCTGTTATGTCACATTGAATAAACGGGGCCGGGCCCCTCACCTGCTGGTGTCATGAAACAAGTCTTCCTGAGAGGCTTCAGCACTGAACACCTTGTCAAACTGAAACTCCCTTGGTCCACGAGGGGTTTCTACGGTGACAGAGTATTCATCTATTTTTTCCACAACGATGGCGCCACCCTGCGCAGCTTCGGCTCGGCTCGCAGGGCGAATCCGACAAAACACTCTAATTTTACCTGAAGAAACATGTTTTTCTTTTTAGTTTAGGTCGAAACTAAAATGCGCTACATGCAGTACAGACACACATGCATACCTTTCATATCTTCAACCATATTGTAATATTTTTTCCTCAGGGTCCTTTCTGAAGTGTAGTTCTCAATTATTTTCTTTTTCTCTTCTTTTTCTTGCTTCAGCTTGAAAAAAAAAACCATGATGATAAGGGAAGAGTTATCATAGTGAGGAATGCTTTACATAAAATCAAGTATTTACAGCACTTTGTGCTAAAATATTCTATAATCAATGTTTAGAATAACAATGGGGCTGCTTTGGTACCCTGTTGGACTGTTGATTTATAATATAAGTGATACCTAATGAGTAGCATGTATCTGTAAAAGCTCACTGTGGACAGATTAATGCCTCTGTCTGTGGTTTCTGTAGTGTTTGGGTGGACAGATCTGACCTGATGTGGTAAAAAACGAACCTGATCCTGCAGCAATAGAAGCTGCTGACCGGCACTCTTAACTCCACCCGTGGTTTGGCTTGCCTCCTGACCCAGGATATCCTCCAGTTCTGAAACTGCACAGTCTGAGTGGAGATGGAAAATAAAAGAGTGATATGTAAAAGACTAATTACTTACTACTAGTTACTAATATATTATGACAATGAGATGTACATTTTTGTTATATAAAAGAAGTGAAGAATGTATGTGATGTGACTATATGAATTCATTTACTATTACTGGCTGGAGCCAACATATTCAGGAAATATAAGATGTATTTACCATTCATCACAGGGCTCTCTCCATTTTTAATGCAGCCTAAAGCGATTTGACAGACCTCAATTTCCTTCACTGTTTCTTGCAATAGAGACAGATTTGAGTTGTATTTCTCTGACCTGTAAAATATAAGAAAACCTTTAAAGTAAAGTGTGTAACTTAACTTAAACCTCCTGACTACCCGCAATGCAAATTTGTCCTCTGTAGAGCACCTTTCTAAACCTGAATATCACCCATGCACTGCATACTAAAGAATTGCCTCCTTTTGGTATCTACAGAGGACATTTAGGGTTTTCCAATGATACCAAATGTGAAGGGGTGGAGCTTTGGGAACTTTAGTTTTTTCATTAAGGAACATGGCGGCCATCGCTGCAAGCACATTTTATGGGAAGAAGAAAAGTAAGTGCATAAAACTTCTTATTGAGCAATTTTTAGCTATAAATGTTGTTAACATATTTTAAATAAGTCTCTTAATAACACATTAAAACATAGTATGCTTAATTCTAACTTCATTTTAGTATAGTATTGAAGTGTTTAACAAATGGCCTCCGTAGTGGACATTTGTAGTCATTTCCTCCATTTTGTTCTGTTTTTTTAAATGACCAGAAAAGGAGTCCTTTTTAGAAGCAGAAAGAAATTTATTGCAGTTTGATGAGGGAAACCCAGATCTTGAGTTGTCTGGTGAAGAAGATCATAGGGAATAAGCCCTTGAAGAAGAAAGATGGAGGAGCATCAGGGATGGTACTCAGACCTGAACTTGCTGTCATTAAGTGGTTGGACAACAAGACAGTTGTCATGGCATCCTCTGCCTATGGCAATCAACCTCAGGACAGACGCACCAGATGGTCTAAGAAAAGCAAAAGGTTTGTCCATGTGCCAAGGCCACTGGCAATTGCTGAGTAGGCTATACTACCAATATAGGTGACGTGGACCTTGTTGCAGAATGTTGAGTTTCTACAGGATGGTCTCTCGCACTCAGAAATTGACAGTATGTGCAGTTCTCTACTTTTTGATCTGGCAATCACCAACTTGTGGCTTCAGTATAGCAATGACTTGCAGTTTTGGGGGAAGAAACCACTACAGTTCCTTGAGTTCAAACTTCTCCTTGGTGAAGAGTTGGAGCAAATATTTGCCATCAAAGTTCATTTTTACATGTTTGGCCTTCCAATGTCCTCTGCAGTGGACATGTGATATCTAAAAATATTTTAACTTTTTTTTCCCAAAAAATTATTTCAGTCTTCTAATTGCCTTACAAACATTGGGGGATTTAAAAAAAATTGATTGGACAACACTTTTTTTCCTGGTAGTCAGGAGGTTAACCTGAAATTTTGAAATTAAGCAGTTATTACAACCATTAAGAAATCATTTTTTCCCTTTTCTTTCTTTTTTTGTTTTGTTTGTTTGTTTGTTTGTTTTTTTCAATTTCTAACCCCTCTTTGTCAGTGGCATCCTCTCTGTCATTGCTTTCTTCTTGAACATTCTTGAGTCGGTCCAGTTTGTTTCTGGCTGAGGCCAGAGCAACCCGATTGTCCTCAATCATCTGGTCTAACAGGGCTCTGGTTTCAGGCACTGCACTGCAGATTTCATGAGCCTAAAGAAAGAGAAATTGATGCAACAGCCTAAATAAATCGGGGAGGAAAAGAGATGATTTTTCTTTGATTTTGTTGCTGGCAGTTGATTTTCCACATAGTTTAATATTAACTAATGTGTGAGCAGCACCTTGTGTATGACGAGGGAAAGCAGAACGCCGCAGGGTGGCTGAGGCACCGGAGGAATGGGGCTTCTCTCTGCCTCCAGCAGTTCGGTGATCTCCCTCTCCCTCTGGTACAGGCTCTCCTTTAGTTCCTCTAGACGAGCTTTAGCGCCCTCCAGTGGTTTATCAGAATCACTGCAGTCCTTCATTAAAAAAGTGGGTTAGTCCACCAAACATAAATCAAAACAAAACAGAAAAAGCAACACTCTAAACTTTTCTTCTTATTGTACTTTTCATGCTTTATCCTTTATTTGAGAAACAAGCTGTCACAACAACAAATTCAAACCCACCCTTGTTTGTTGCTGTGCTGACAGTCCTTCAATCTCCAGGTTTTCACCTTCCCCTGTGGTTTCCTGCTGCTCCTGTGTGGAGACCACCAACATTTCTTGGACTTTTCCTATTTCTTGTCGGGCCATCTGTAGCTCCTGCAATGCTGCTTAAGGCAAAATGGTATGAATAATTTGTTAGGCACAAACATTTGGTGTTTCACAGACTTTAACATCATGGCAGATAAACTCACTGGAGGCCTGCTGACTGTGCAGGGCATCCAGTCTGTTGGAGAACAGTTCCAGCATTTTGCTCTAATTGAAAGAAAAGAAGAAAATCTATGTGATTATATTGTTAAAATAGACTCAATGTTCTTCTCAAATATAGCCACAAGAGTATGCTCTCATTCAGAAGATCAATGATTGATGTAAGAGGCCATGAAGTCTGCCAGACTGCTATGCAACCTTTTCTCTGTGCCACTGCAGGGCCTCTTCCATGCTCCTCTTCCTCTCAGCTCTCTGCTCCTTCAGCAACAGCTCGTTTTGAGCTTTCAGGGTCTGCAGGAAACAGGAACACGAATGCATGTAAATATGCATCCGGCCACTCAATATTTCAGATGTGGATTACAAGGAATATGAACTGGAAAATTAAAAGTAGAAATGTACCACAACAAATTTGCAGTAAAATGAGCAAGATTAAAACAATAGCGGTGTTCATGTACGGCAAATAGGAGAAGGACTGCGACCTCAACTTTAGCCTCCCAGTTGGCTTTCTTCTTCTCCACCTTCTCCTGGTAGATGTCCAGGATTTTTCGCAGAGTGTTTAACTTGTTCTGATAGTGAGATCTGATCTTCTGCACGGTACAATCCTGATGAGAGAGGACCGTTGTCAGTACTGTTTTGTTTTAGTAGACTCCCTCACACAGACACTCACACACATCATCACCTGGTTCTCCTGCATTGTCATCTGGAAGTTCTCTTCCAGCTCCTGGACCATTTCCAGATGCCTTTTACTCATGCTTTCCATGTCCTTGGCTATCTGTTTTTACAGTGCACAGTCACTAACAGATATCAGATAGACACAAAAATGCATCCTGGTATCATGATCCTGATCAAATGCCTTCGAGGGCAACAGTGGCACAATCAAGGCAGCCATGTGAGTGTGAATGAGAGCAAAACAACAGTGTCTGACAGTGTCTTCATTGTGTGTTTGCATGCCCGCAACCAGCCAAAGCACTAAGTAAAAGGTCTGAAGAAATATTTATCATCCACTGAGAAAGAAGAATAAGCTACTTTGTCTTTTTTGACCATGCTAACATGCATCACAGGCTGATTGAGATTAGGATGTTAATTTTTGGTTTTTCTTCTTCTTTTTGCTATTTCACTTTGGAGTTGCCCAAGCAGGTCATCTGTTTCCATCTGCAAGTTCAAACAAACTAATTATATCCTTTCTTACTTTGTCCCTGAATCATCCAACCTGAGCTGTCTCTGTAACACATTAATCCGTGATACCTCCACTAGTGTAAAACTGGTTCTACTTTAAATAAAACTCCACTGGTCTGCACGACTGTCCTGTGATGATCCTCATTGTTTTACCTGAGCAATGCAGAGTTCAGCAGACTCATAGGGGATGTAGATCTTGCCACCTGGTGACTGCCCAACTTGATCTGCATCACTCCTGCCTGGCAGCTGAGATTCTGATGAGCCTGCAGAAAGAGCACGCTGCAAATGACTGTTTATTACAGAGAATGGGGCTTAGTTAAAGTTATAAGTAGTAGCAAACCTATCTCTCTAGTGCCATGCACAAGGAGCATGATTTTAAATCTGTACACAGGTAAAGTTCTCAATGTATACTTGGAAATCATGTTAAAATGATGACTAAGCTTGTAAAAGCAAACGCACAAACTAGATAGACTGCATTGATCTACCTGTCTGCCAGTTCATGTTGGGCAATCAGCATGTGGCACATAAAACTTCACTGAAACAGTTTCTAAAAAGGGATCAACAATGCAGCCATGAATAATCTGCTTGTATTCCTATGTTAACTTGTGCTCTCTTTGTCCATTTATGTATATTCTATAGATAGCCAATTTAAGGTCTGCCTAGAGAATGAATTACAAATCAAATTAGGACATGAATGCAGGGGTGTGTCGCAAGATTCACAATTCATACTCCTCCCTGTATTAAAACTAACAATAATAAAAAGTAACTTTTCCACTCTCCACCACACCCACTGTCACACTCGTCTCACAGCAGAGAAAGAAACTAAATTGCAAATTTAAAGTACTATTAAATTAACATATATGTTTTTGCTCTGAATCTGTGGTTCCCAACCATTTTGTCCTTTGATTCCTTAAAATGAAAGTGTTTTTTGTATTTTTCGCATGTATTTCTGTTTTTTTGTACTTAGCTGTTTTTTTTATTATTATTCCTGTCTCAGCATATCAGATATGATTTAGCTTTTGAGGTTTTCTGGCCTTAGTTTGGGATTTATAAAACCTAGCTACTCCTCATCCAAATGCAACAGTGAGATGCTGCTTTAACACTGATGCTTTAGAAATTTAATAATGTTGGGCACTATAAAACACGGTCACCTTCACCAGCACTTTTATTATTGCTACTTTACGTATTTTTTTTAAATTTTTTCGTGATTTGTCACAGACTGTTTTACATTGTTGCATTTTTTACTTTTACTTCAACGCAATTACTGTGTAAGCAGAAACTGAACACCCATACTGCAGGGGAAACACACACACACACTATAACCCCCATTTCCTCTCATACAATATCCTTTGTAGGATATTGTAGGTAGTGCACTTTTCTTTTCTTTTTCTTTTTTTTTACAGCACCTTGGTTGACCTCTTGTCCATTGTGTTTCCTTCGGCTGGCAGTGATCCAGCGCCTGAACGCGGTCCACCTCTTCATCCAAAGAGTTTGGGGATGAGCAACAGCTTGAACAGTTAAACACATGTTTTTGGAGAGTTTCAATCAAAACTGAATAGATATGAAAAAGCAGAAGGCACAGGTTCTGTAAGCACATATTGTCTATTGGAAGCTTTTTTTGTAATCCCTGTGTAAACATAAACAGTTTCCCTATTTTTTTAAGTCGCTTAAGTGAAGAAAATTGTAAATTTTCACCCAACTATCTAATTATATTTATATAATTTATTAATTTATATATACAATTTTCTTTGGATACACCTTCTCATTTAATGGTTTTACTTTATTTTCATGACTCTTTACGTTACATTTCTCACTGAAGGTACAAAACTATGAATGAACACATATGGAAATATGTAGTAAATAAAAGCATGTGAAATAACCCAAAACTAAGTTTTATATTCACTCTATGGTCCATTTCATCCCAAACCATCTCCACTGGGTTTAGGTCAGGGGACTGTGGAGGCCAAGCCATCTGGTGCAGCACTCCATCTCTCTCCTTCTTGGTCAAATAGGCCTTACACTGCCTGGAGGTGTGTTTGGGGTCTTTGTCCTGCTGAAAAATAATTGATGATCCAACTAAATGCAAACTTCCGCAGGATGCAGTGGTAGCCATGCTGGTTCAGTGTGCCTTCAATTTTAAATAAATCCCCAGCAGTGTCACCAGTAAAGCACCTCCACACTATCACACCTCTTCCTCCATGCTTCATGGTGGGAACCAGAGACTGTCCATTCACCTTTTCTGCCTCGCACAAAGACATGGCAGGACACTTTTCCTTAGTAGTGGTTTCTTAGCAGCTATTTGACCATAAAGGCCTCATTCACACAGTCTCGTCTGAACAGTTGATGTAGAGATGTTTTGCAATTTCTGAGACTGGTAACTCGGATGAATTTATCTTCAGCAGAAGAGGTGACCCTTGGTCTTCCTTTTTAGGGGCGGTCCTTGCGTGAGCAATTTTCCAGACTGACCGACCTTCAGTTCTTAAAGTAATGATGGACTGTCGTTTTTCTATACTTAGCTGATTGGTTCTTGTTATTATATGAATTCTAAGAGTTGTCAAATAGGGCTGTCAGGTGTGTACCAACCTGACTTCTGCACTACACAACTGATCTCCCAGCCGAAATTAAGAGGGCAAGAAATTCCACAAATGAACCCTGACAAGGCACACCTGTGAAGTGAAAACCATTTCAGGTGACTACATCATGAAGCTCACAAGGGTTTGCAGAGCTGTCAGCAAAGCAAAGAGTGGTGACTTTCACAAATATGAAATATTAATCTGATTAATATTTAGAGTTATTAATCAGATTTCTTTCCGACGTAGTTTCATAGATCTTGCTTCATATATTTGACGTCTATAGTTAGTTAGTATATACACTTTACAAAGTAGTAAAAAATAAAGAAAAACATTCAATGACAAGGTGTGTCCAGATTTTTGACTGGTATTGTATGTATATATAGAATTAAATAGTAATGATACTTTACAGGTGGAAGCTTGTGAAATACTTTCATTGTTTGCTTGTCTACTTTTTTTTTTTTACCCAGCTTGCTTGTAGACCCACATAGCAAGCAGGTCTGGCCCAGATCTGGTATCAAGCTGGCACTGCTGGCTGACTTCTGGCATGATAAGACATATGTCACCCAGATATGGGCCAGGCCTGCCATAGATGGCACTGTCGATGTGATGGCATGCCATATCTGGCTCGATTGTGATTTGGTTTATGTGGCCGGGCTCATAGAAAACAGGTCTTCCCTGGATCCAGCATCAAGCTGGCACTTCTGACTGACCGGTGTCGTGGCAGAGTGTATGTCAACCAGATGTGGGCCAGGTCTGGCAATGATGGCACTATTTATGTTCCTATTTTCCTATTTTAGTTAGAAGACTGTTACGGTCGCTGACCTCTAGTGGCTCTCCCTCTGTAGAAGAGTTGTTTTTCTCCTTTTCTTGTGTTGCAGGTCTGCCTCATGAGCCGCAGCTGAGGTGTGTTCCCGCTCGTCAGCCACGGCATATAGGCTGCCATCCTAAACTGCCACACCCCCTGCCATTTTCCCCATGTTTGCCAGAGCTGTGAGCTGTAGAGTTTTGGGCAGCGGGCCTTAGTGTGTATGTGTGTGAGAACTTACCCTCTGTGAACTTTGGTTTTTCTTTCTTTTATTGTGAGCGAAGGTGTGCCCTTATTGTGATAATTAGTTTGTCATTGTGGAAGCAGGTAGGGGTTCTCTGCCATTTTTGTTTCAACTGTTTTCTCCTGGTTTGGTTAGACAGGGAGCTCAGCCATTGTATTTTGTTTTTGGTTAGTGAGTACTTGGTTTTGATTTCTAGCTAAAAGGGGGTGTTTTGTTTATTGTTTTGGCCTTGGAGACCCTGAAGAAAAGAGCTTCCCTGTGTTTTTGTACTATAGTAGTTTTAGGCAATAAATCTTGTATACAGACAGCTATTTCTCCAGTAGTTCATGTGTTCCCTTTCACTTTGTGTTACCCCTCACTCCCGTCGACACTCCGTTCATTAAGTGGGGCGTAACATAAGTGGGGGCTCGTCCGGGATTATTTGGGTTATGGCACAGTTTAGCCTGGGTGATTTTATAGCTAGGCCTGCATTGGACCAGCTTGATGCATGTCGGAAGGAGGATTTGTGTGCTGTTGCCGCGCATTATGACATCCTTGTGGCCAAGTCCATGAAGAAGAGCGAGTTAAAGACTCTTGTTGTCAGTGGGTTGGTTGGGAAAGGCGTGTTCCCCTTAGAGGTGGTCTCGGGGGATGCCGCGTCACTCCTCGAAACCTCTGGTCATCCTCAGGTTTGTGCTGAGGAGGGGGCGGGGACACCTACGGTGGTCAGACCAGGTGAGGGAAAGCCACCAACCTCTCTTCCACGGTTTGAGCCCTTCTCTGTTGAATCTAGTAATCCCAGTGTTAGTGCACGCGTAAAGGTACGTTTAGTTCGTCTTGAACTTGAGGCCAAAGAAAGGGAACGTAAGGATGAGCTTGAGTTCAAGTTGAAGTGTCGGGAGCTAGAAGCTGAGACATCTATTAGGTTGCGTCAACTGGAGTTGCAAGCTAACAAATTGTCTCCTGAGCATTCTGCTCCACCTACAGTGAAGGATGAAGACAACAATAGCAATCCTTCAGATAATTCTCTCCCTGCTCCTGCACCTCCGGCATTTGATGTGGGCAAAAACATTGCCCTAGTTCCACCATTCAGGGAGACTGAGGTGGAGGCCTATTTTAATGCTTTTGAGCGCATTGCTATGGCTTTACATTGGCCCAAGGAGGTTTGGTCCCTTTTGCTTCAGTGCAAATTAATTGGTAAGGCACAGGAAGTATGCGCAGCTCTCACTATCGAGGACAGTCTTGTGTATGACAATGTCAAGAGCGCTATACTCAGAGCCTATGAGTTGGTGCCTGAAGCCTACAGGCAGCGTTTCAGGACCCTGAGGAAATCCGCTGCTCAAACATTCCTTGAGTTCGCAAGGGAAAAAGGGACACTATTTGATAGGTGGTGTCACGCAAGCAAAGTGTCAGAGTTCAACGCATTGCGTGAACTGGTGTTGTTGGAGGAATTCAAAAACTGTGTTCCTGATCGTACAGTGCTGTACCTGAATGAACAAAAAGTGGCCACTTTGCAGGAGGCAGCTGTCCTGGCAGAAGAATTTGCTTTAACGCACAAAAGCGTGTTTGTGGGTAAATCCGAATCACACTATCGTGAACGACTGGAAAAGGACACAAAGCCTCAACCACATAGGGGTTCCTTGGGTTCCAAGTCTGATAGACAATGTTTCTACTGTCACAAAGTGGGGCATATAGTTTCTGAGTGTTTGGCTCTTAAACGTAAACAAGTGCCCCAGCAATTAAAACAAGCCAAAGGGGTTGGCCTAGTCAAGTCGCTGAGCTCCCCCTCCCATGTGACCATGAGTGAACCTGATAAGTGTTTTAAACCCTTCATTTTCGATGGTTTTGTCTCCTTAACAGGGTTTCCTGGGGATCAAAAGCCCGTGAGAATGCTGAGGGACACGGGGGGCTCGCAGTCATTTCTATTGGCCGACGTTTTGCCAGTCAGTGATGAGTCATCTTGTAACGCTAGTACAATAGTGCAAGGTATTGGGATGGCCTACATACCTGCACCATTACATTGTGTTCATGTGCAGTCGAGGTTAGCCTCTGGTTTGTTCAAGGTTGCAGTAAGAAACTCATTTCCTATTCAGGGTGTTGAGTTTATAATGGGAAATGATATTGCTGGGGACAAAGTACTCCCTGTTCCTGAAGTGGTGGATAAACCCAGCTGTATCCCGGAAGAGGACGAGCTGTTGAAATCCCACCCTGATGTGTTTTCTGTCAGTGTTCTTACCAGGTCGCAAGCTCGGAAGCTGGAGGAAGTGAACCTGAGTGAGACTGTTCTTGGATCTGTTCTAACTGGGGACAGAGAGCCAGCTGCTAGCCCTTCTAAACCAGCGCTCGATGAACAGGGTCTGGCTACTCTGTCTGAGGTTCTTCCTTTGCCGGTCTCATGTGAGTGTTTGAGCCAGGCTCAGGAAAAGAATGAGTCACTCGCTAACTGTTTTAAAGAGGTAAGCGAGTTAGCAAACAATAAAAAGGCACACAGGTTTTATCTTGAGGATGGGTTACTGCTAATAAAATGGGTCTCAAGACCTGCATTACAGCAGGAAGGAGGTGATGAGGGTTGGGGGGTGGTACGCCAAATAGTCATTCCTAGGGATTACCGGGGTGGCATATTGCAGCTTGCGCATGAACACCCATGGTCAGGTCATTTAGGTATTACTAAAACCTATGACCGCGTTCTTCAGCACTTTTTCTGGCCAGGTCTGAAGAAAGACGTTGCCAAGTTCTGCAAAACATGCCAGGTTTGCCAAATTGTGGGTAAACCTAATCAGACAGTGCCACCTGCTCCTCTTAAACCCATCCCGGTAGTTGGGGAGCCTTTTGAGCGTGTTTTAGTGGACTGTGTGGGTCCTCTACCCAGAACAAAAACGGGTAATCAGTTCCTCTTGACAATCATGTGTGCCACAACCCGTTTTCCTGAAGCCATACCACTTCGAAAAATCACCGCTCCCACTGTGATTAAGGCTCTACTTAAATTCTTTTCAACATTTGGTCTGCCTAGAATTGTTCAGACCGACCAAGGCAGCAATTTCCAGTCAAAACTGTTCAAGCAGACATTACAATCACTTGGTATCAAACACATCCCTTCCAGCCCTTACCATCCCCAGTCACAAGGTGCACTAGAAAGATGGCACCAGACCATAAAGTTGATGATGCGAAAATATTGTCTGGTGACTGACAAGAACTGGGATGAGGGACTGCCATTCCTGCTGTTTGCAGCTCGTGAAGCAAAACAGGAGTCCCTTGGTTTCAGCCCTGCTGAATTAGTTTTTGGGCACAGTGTGAGAGGGCCTCTAAAAGCCCTGAAAGAACAGTTTTTGTCTGATGTGCAGCCACAATCAAATGTGCTTGAGTTTGTCACGCAGTGTCGGGAACGTTTGTACCATGCTTGTGCAATAGCTAAGAAGTCTCTGTCAGCAGCCCAAGGGAAAATGAAGCGGCAGTATGACCGGAAGGCAGTGCAGCGTTCTTTTAAACCTGGTGATCAGGTACTCGTGTTGGTGCCCACATCTGGTCCGTCTCTGTCAGCCCAATTTGCGGGACCATATGTGGTAGAGAGCAAAGTCAATGACACAGACTACATCGTTCGCACTCCGGATAGGAGGTGTAAAACACGGCTCTGCCATATAAACATGCTGAAACTGTTTC